CGGGACTGACCTAGGGTGAATTTTTAAATAGGGACAATTTTTAATGATTTTAAACAAGACACAGCTACAAATATTTGGTTTTTAATTGGCTTTTATAGGGAAATGTTTTGTATTGTTTTAATATGCTGTGAGCCGCCCTGAGTCCCATGGGGGAGAAGGGCGGCATATAAGTCTTATTATAAATAAATAAATAAATAAATAAAATAAATATTGAGTATTCTGCGGCTCTTCAGATGTTGCTGAACTACAACTGCTTGCATATACCTTGCTATGATTCATATTCCTTGGATTGACCAGGAGTTGAAATTGAGAAACATCTGGTGTTCAGGCATCCTGATTCACCGAACATTCTACTTTAAATTAATGCCATCTTTTACCAGAACATTTTTCCTTGCAAGCAAGCAATAATGATGATGATGATGTTGGAAGGGATCTTCTAGTCTAACACCCTGCTCAGGCAGGAAACCCTATACCAGTGGTGGCGAACCTATGACACGCGTGCCAGAGGTGGCACACCGAGCCCTCTGTGAGCACGCGCCATCGTCCCAGCACACGTCTCTAAAAGTTCGCCATCACTGGCCTAAGGCCAGCCAGCCTGGAGCTGCCATTGGGGAGCCCACCATCCCACCCGTCAGAGACCCCCTGGATCTCCCCCAACCCTGCCCGACTCCCACAGGTGTCCACACCCACAGGTGTCCCTCCCCAAAAGCAACATCAAGGTGGCCACGCCCATCCCGGCCATGCCCACCCAATCTGCCATGACTACTGCAGCCACACATCCAGTGGCCACGCCCACCCAGTCTGCCAAGCCCACTGTAGCTGCACCCGAGTGGGCTACACCCACCTGGCACCCGGCGATACATAAGTGGGTTTTGGGTTGCAGTTTGGGCATCGGTCTCTAAAAAGTTTGCCATCACTGTCCTATACCATTTCAGACAAATGGTTGTCCAGTCTCCTCTTAAAAACTTCCAGTGTTGGAGCATTCACAATTTCTGGAAGTAGGTTGTTCCACTGATTGTTCTATCTGTCAGGAAATTTCTCTGTAATTCTAGGTTGCTTCTCTCTTTGATTAGTTTCCACCTGTTGCTTTTGTCCTACCTTCAGCTGCTTTGGAGAATAGCTTGACTCCC